GATATCGTTTGCACCCTCTACAACTTTCTGTCTTCAAGCGTTCCATGCTTTCCTCAACAAAAGGCGCCAAAATTGCCGTCGTCAGACGAAGGCGGAGAGGAGGCCGGATAGACTGCGATACATCCTTGTTTATTGCCATTTGTCCACGCTGGGGGTAGGAGTGTCTTCTTATCTGCGGCGTTGCATTCTAAGCCGCCGTGGAGGTACGGATCCCCGTTTTGTTGTGCTCTCCTGGTGTTAGATTAAGTCAATGGAATAGCAGGTACTTCGACATTGTATGACTGGATAGCAAGCACCTTAGTCAAGAGATCCGGCATAGAATTGCCCAAAAAACCGGTATGATCATATGTTGGCGAGCACAAAAAGTGGCTTAGATCTAGTACCCTTCCAGCAAAGATCAGTGCGAATTGCTGCCTCCTCCTTGGTCCCCTTAGGGTTGGGACAGGGTACTACCCAAACGGTGGCTGCAACAGAGTAGCTTGTTGAGCGGTTGGTTAAAAGTAGAACTACGAACAAAATGTGGATTCCTAACCCTTGTCGAGTTTATGGCACTTGACAAAATTCGACTCAAATATCTGGGTATGACAACTGTTATTTTGCTTAGATAAGATGGACGCCAAGGTCGGGGTAAGCTATACAACAAAATTGGTTGAGCCATATGAATACGGATATTTCGACACAGGACAACAAAACATTTCGCAGATGTAGATAACCTGCTACCATGTCAATGACTAACTTGATTGCTTTCCATATCTAGCTAGGCTTTCCAGTAAATATTTGCGAATCAGCCCGATTTGCTTTATAATTAGCACATTTTCATGTTCGAGCGATCAGGGTTTTAATGACTGGCAGTTATACTAATTGCCAAGTGCAACTACTTGGACTTCTGAGTCTTGTGGATCTATAAGAAGGTTGCCAACTCTGAGATGTTATTTGAAGCTTGGAAAAACTCTGAACTCCTGGAGCCAATCTACTCATTATTGCGAAGAGATGCGACATATCAGGCACAGATCCTTCGAGAAACGATTTCTAAAGAGACATTATCCGAAGAGCTCAAGTTACGCCTCATTCGTTCCCAGGTTTTCTATTTAAGAATCACGTTTTCAAATGACAACGTGATTATGTATGCTAATTGGCATGGTGATAAAAGCCGTAGTACCATAAATATCGCTGAGACACAATATATACAGCATCGTTTTAAAAAGATGCCATATCCGCGTTCAGGACAGGCTCTGGCTAGGAGTTATTTTGATCCCAAAAAAGCCGATAAATATAGCAAAAACCGTGCTTTATGTTCACACAGCGAAGCCATCATCATCATCATCCTGTATCTAGATCAAGCGCAAACAGCAAAGAATAAGTAAGGTATTATGAAATTATCGTTCATTTTTTAATATCACAATGCAAAAACTAGAGATTGTGTTGAGCTCATATGACAGGTTATTAGATTAGACATACATACAAAATGCTTCGACTCCCAGACGAGAGTACCATGTGATCAGTCCTGAAACCCAAAAGGAAAATAAGACGAAATAAGTTGGTACAGATTCTGTATAAGATCAGGTGCACATATATAAATGGTTACAATATAGAAGAAGTTTGTATGAGTGGAGGTCTTGCAGGTGTGCCGAGAAAACATAATTGTACCCCAGAAGCTATCACGGGAAGGATGGTCTCAAAGAGAGGGGCGATAATGTTAAAGAAGGCTGTGCGTCCAGATCATGTCGAACCAAAAAGTGATTTGACCTCACCTCCTGGACACAGCATCAGAAGATTGGTCCTGAGACAGATAGAAAAAATATAAGATGAAATAAGGTGTGGAGGTTTCATGAGCCCAGAAGATACACAACCAGGAGATTGAAATATACTTTGAGATTTGTATGTACAGCAGTGATGAAGGTGGTTAGTGAGAAAGAGTAATGATAAGTGCAGTAGCACATACATTCGTATAAATATGTATAAATGCATACATATAATTGAGAACATTATTCAAGTCTATATTCCGGTATTTTCCCACATTTTGATAATACTGTGGCCCTCTTGTAGCCAATAGCGGATCAAAATAAGACGAGTTTGGCGATCTTGAGAGAAAACTGAATGATTCACTTATTCCTTTAAACCCATTATATGCACATTTGTCATCAACCCGATACAACGAATCGAAATTGGTACATTTTTACAATAATCAGTATTCTGGTAGTTGTGACCGTGTTCACCATTATATTCACCGATGAATACGATCTGATGATAGTTTCAAAACCTAATCCGTCATCCACTTCGTTTCCTTCCTAGCTCTTTGCTCATTCAAACTCAGGTCGGGCAATGCTCAAGTGAGGTTGAAAAAAGATTTACGGACCATTTGAAATAAAATTAACTATGATTTCTCAAAATTTTAGCCATTAACTTCATTAACAAAGAGTATAAAATCTGGATCGAAGTAATTTACAAATTCGTAGTAATTAACAATTTTAAGTCAGTCCATTCGCTTGTCCAGTCTCTAGAATGCCGCCATATTACCTTTAGACCAAGGTTGTATAATAAATCGGCCCAAATTCCATTCATCGAAGAAGTGTCTTAAGTTGGCGCTTGCTCATTATTGCATGGTACCTGAACAACATCGAGTTCTCTACCTGATCCTAGACAGCCAAATGTGAATTCGGTGCTCATGGAACCTCTCGTTTTTCCATAGTCGTAGCGAAAATGTGAGGACCTCCCTAAGCACTGCAGAGGAACTTGGCCCGGACAAACACCGCCTCAGTGCAGCGAGTCCGTACATCGTCATCCGTATACTGGCAACGCTGATTAAAAATAAGCCATACCACGGCTCCACAAGTTCAACAGACTTTGTTCTCTCGCCACCGAATAAACGAGAAGTCCTCTGAAAGAGTAATATACCACAAAGAAACGATTAATACACTTTCAAAAAGTCCTCACCATCACTCCGTCGTGACGATCCAAGATATTCATTGAATGTTAATCCCGCAGCACCAGCTTCCATATTCCATCCGATTTTATATTTTTACTTGTTTGCATACTACTTATCAATCTGGTAGGCATTTCATTTCAATGGTAGGAAGACCAAGATGGTGTGAGTTTTTGTGTGGTCGCAGTCTCCTTACATTGCATAGAAGCTGTTTAACCTTGTTTTCGCAACTCAATCATATTGG